CGAAGAAAATGGTGAAGAGTTATCTTTCAAACAGGTTAGCAAACTACACAAACAACATTACTTTATAAAAGACTGACATGATAATACCTTCAGGTCACAGCACAAAATCATTTCTTTCTGTTTGGATAACACGAATTCTCAAAAGGGTTTTATGGCCATTAAAATTATAAAAAGAGAGAATGTCTGATTTTCTTGTTGGATCTGAAACCTTAATCTTGTTGGATCTGAAACCTTAAGATAGTCTTAAGTTACAATATATTTGTAATACCAATTACTACTATAATGTTTTAGTACAATATTGCTTAGTTCAATGATATTAAATTTGTTACGAAAAAAGTTAGTGAGTAAATTAACACAAGACTCTTCTCTAAGTTTCTGGTTTTCATCCCTCTACTCCCCGTCCCATCAATTTTATGAAAGATTTAAAATTTTCTTCAAAATATAAATCTAGTAAGATATATATGCCTTGAAAAATGTTTAAGCTTAGAAATCTAGACAATCAACTGCAAATAACTACCAGACAACTGGCAGCTCACAGTTTTGAACAGTTAGAGACAGATGGACAAGCAAAATTCATGGGTCTCCAATTGCAACCCCCTCTAACTAGATTTCCTGTGTACTTTGCATCAGTCTTTCTTACAGGTGCAGGATGCTTACTTTTGGCAGTAGGGGAAAGAACAGATTTATGGGCCATAAGAACATCTTCTCACTTTCCATAAACAGGTTATAGAATTAATTAAAATTGCAGCACATCAACTCAGCACATGAAACCTGCCCTGTTATTGGATACTAATGTAATCCAAATATGTGGAAAGTCAAATAGTTTTCAACAGAACTAATTTAGATGGATGGATCAGATAACAACTTGCAACTGAACCTGACATAATCAGTTCTACTCAAAGGCAGTAAGTCTGAATGTTAAATTCCAAAACGAACAAGGAAAATATTGAACTTTAGTCTATTACCAGAACAATTAAAAAAACAGTACTTTATTTACAAAAATGTTTAAATACTTCCTTACTTGAAGAAATTACAAAGACCCATTAAAGCTACTGTATGTTCTATTTTAAATAAATGAAAAAGACTATCAGAAAATGTAAATGGCATGAAAGACAATATGAAATTGCATTTACTCTTATTCATATTCATCTACCCACTCAAAGAATATGCTTCCATCTATAAGATTTTATCCTCATGAAGAAATACACAAAAGCACTGAAGAAAGGTGGCTTCTTTACACCTTTACACGTTGAAACTACTGATGTTCATTGCTATGAGTTATCTCTAAAACAAGGATAAAGGATGACTAGCACAGAAAAGTAAAACTTTTCACGAGCTAATGGATTCAATCTTATTGGCAAAGCAATATCGATTGTATCCTTATATAGTACAATTGAAAGTAAAAAGTAAAAGGATAGAGTTCAGGTAAAATGATGAAAATGGAAATTTGTCTTCTGAGTCACAAAAAACTTCTCTCTTCTCTCTCAGTTCTTTTAGTAAATAAAGGAAGGCATAGAGGGAAATGTGGAGATCAGAAGGAACATTCTACAGTTACTGCCATCCTGATGACCAGAGAACTACATTAGTTGCGGCTTATAGAGTCCCCTGGAGTGGCTGGGAGCACAAGACCATGGGTACCACCAATTTTCAGGATGTACAGCAATTCTGTTTGTAGCATAGCTATGTCCGTGAAGACTATTCCACCTCTGGTAGTTCTGGATATTCCCTTAACAGACTACCATCTCTTCATAGTGCAAACTCCTTCCTTTCTTCTGTCCCAAATACCCCAAATGAATAGTGAATAATTTTCAGACCTTTAGTTATTTTTTCAGTTAGTGTGAATGTTGGTTTACTATTTCGCTCCTGTTATTTTTTAAGTACTTGTATGATCTCTAAGATATCTGCGACAGCCAGCCTCTAAGGTGATCCCCAATGACCCCTGACTCCTGGATTCCTATTCTGGTACAGTCCCCTCCCACAATGAATAGAGTTAATAGTTGACCTCTGTATCCAAAAGGATACTGCAGAAAGGTGAGTGGTTCCTAAGGCTAGGTCATAAAAGGCTTTGCAGCTTCCACCTTGCTTTCTTTTGTCTCTTAGATTGCTCACATTGAGAGAAAGCAACCACTACGTTGTGAAGATAGTCAAGAGGACTGTGGCAAAGCCCTCAAGGCAGGAAGGAATTAAAGCCTCCCGTCACAACTGGCACCAAATGAGTGAGCTACCTTAAAAACAGATCATCCAGCCCCAGACAAGCTTTGAAATGACCACAGCCTTATGATAACCTGAGCTAAAACCACCCAGCTAAGACATTCCTTAATTCTTGGCCCAGAGAAACTGTATAAAACGATAAATGTTTACTGTTGTTTTAAGCTGCTGTGTTGAGGTAATTTGTTAAGCAGCAATAACTAATTCATATTATTTTTTCCTATAGAAACAAAGAAACACAAGTATGCCACTACATCAGGCATCTTCATTAACAACATAATACTGTTGATACATGAGGGATCACAACTCAAGCCAAGCAAATAAATCAGCAGGCTTTTAAAAAAATGGAGGTACAATTTACATGGGTGAAAAGTACACATCTTAAGTATGTATTTCAGTGAATTTTGACAAGTTTTGCAAGAAGATGCACCATATAAGTACCCTGATCAAGATGTAAAAGATTTCAACTACCCCAGATAGTTCCCTCAAGGCTATTTTGGATCAGTTCTTATATTATCCCCTCCCCTAACCAGGGTCAAGCACTGTTGTTATATCTATCACCACAGATGAGTTTTGATCACTCTAGAACTTTACATAAACAGAAGACTACAATCTTTTGTGTCTGGCTTCTCTTGCTCAGCATGATATTTCTAAGGTTCATCATGCTGTCCTCATGTTGTTGAGTGTATCAGTAGTTCATTCCTCTTCACTGTTGATTCATATGCCATGATTTGTTTATCCATTCTCCCACTGATGGACATTTGAGTTCTTCCCCGTTTGGGGCTTCTATGAATAATGTTTCTGGAACAAATGTTTTGGTGGACATGTATTTTTCCCTTCTCATGGTTAAACACCAAGGCAGGGCTGGAACTAGAGTGAGGCAAATGAAGTACCTAGCACACAAAATTTAAGGAAGTCCTCTACCTAGGAGTGGGATTGCTGGACCATAAAATAGATGTTTCTATAACAATTTGCCTTTTACATTATAGCACTGAAGTTTTACACTTAGATTTGTCATGGGTTCCTCTGTCAAGAAATCTACCATTTAAATAAGAAGCAATATAAGGTTGACACATTAGTATAAGAAAACATAAAAATATATACTTATAAAGGCAAATGATCACTATATTATAAGATGTAATGCATATTAAATAAAATATAAAGTCGAGAATAACTTCCTCTAGAATGATTGCTCAATTAAGTAAAACTGCTTGTTTTACAGATAAGGAAAAGGATTAAGAGACTGTTCAAGGCTGCCTCACTGGTTACTGGCTTTTTCATCATACATACCGCATTGTAAATCTTCATAAAAGTTTAACCCAGGCTGAATGAAAAAGAAAGTGTTTTTTTCAGAGGTAAAGATGTGGCTACAAATGGTTTTCAATTTAAATGTCAACTAGCTTTCACAGAGAATTTTTTTAGCATCAGTGGCCTATAAAGTATAAATTTAAACTAGTGAGCATGTTCTTCTTCTTTTTTTTTTTTGGTGAGGAAGATCAGCTCTGAGCCGACATCTGTAGCCAATCTTCCTTTTTTGTCTTGAAGAAGGGTGGCCCTGAGCTAACATCTGTGCCAATCCTCCTCTATTTTGTATATGGGATGCCGCCACAGCATGGCTTGATGCGTGGTATGTAGGTCTGTGCCCGGGATCGGAACCTGCAAACCCCAGGCCGCTGAAGCAGAGCGCACAAACTTAACCACTATGCCACTGGGCCGGCCCCGAGTGATATGCTCTTAAAAAAATAAAATCAAAAATTTGTGACATGCAAAAATTGTAATTATAAAAACATATTCACTAAATAAGGTTGAGCTATTTCTAAATACATAGGAAAGTCACTTTTATTAGCTATGGTTAGGTTAGACTTTTCTCAAGAGGCAAGAAAGGCAGGCATACCCTTGATATCTGCATCTTCCATTCTAGAGCCACTTAAAACTAAATCATTTAAAGTAACAAGGAAAGTATTTTTATTCAATTAATTTGTTTTGCTTCTACTAAATTACTACCAGTTAGTAAGATACACATTTTTTTCCTCCCTTGAAAAAGGTTTATTTTCATCCATAAGATAGCAGTGATTGAAAAGTAGTGACTGAGAATAAGAATATTTCTTTAACTAGGATGGATAATTACAATGCTATAAAGACTCACAGCCAGCAGTTTTCATTGGTTTGTCAAAACTTTCTTTATTCATTAAAGGAATATTTTTCATGATTTTAAGATAATTTCAGAAAATCTGTGAAGAAGTTCACATCATAGTATATTTATAATAAAGTTGAGACCACACACTCTTCTTGCCAAGAATGGAAAGTAAATTTACTGAGTCACTGAAATAACTGAATTCAAACTGTATCATTAGATTCCACCCAAGCCATGATTATTATTTCTCTCTACTCTGCAACATGGCCTTTACTTAACACAGATCAAGGAGTCCCTAGGAATACCAGAATCTTATGAGAAGTCACCATATACTCCTCTCAGGAAAATACTCCTAATCTCAGCCACAGAAATGCTTACTTAGTACTAAAAAGATTTCAAATTTTCATATATATCCTCTTTAGGAATTTTTTTGTCAAGTACTTTAAAGAATGCCTACCTCACAACTGGACACTGGACAATGTCAGTGCTGAATTTCTATGAGGCCTGTGAATTAAATTTCCTAAAATGAAAATCTGCACCTGGATTTGATCCTTAAACAAGTAACAGAGGAAACTAAAACTCTGCAGTTTCTAGTTAAAATGCCTTTTTGTTTGCCAATTCCTGCTTTTCATTTAATTGTACTGATATTGCACAGTACCTCACGGGTTTCCTCTCTCGAAGCAAGTCTTCTAGACTCCGTTCACAGTGTTCAGCCACCACCACCAGTCTCTCTGAGTAAAACAAAGCAAATCCACTTTATATTTGATTAACACACGTTTTAATAACAAAATAATATACCCACTAAAGATATTAACGTGTAGTGCAAATGATATTTTAAGAGCTTTTCAAACTCTATATTAACTACACAATTACCATATATATAGAATAACAGGATAAATGTGTAACAAAACACATTATTAATAATGTATAATAAAACACATAAATAACAATTTCTTTTCATCTTGTATTTTTCTCTAGAGTTTCTCCCATGTGCATCAGGGAAAACAGATGGAAAGATTTACCTTCAGAAAAAAGAAGCAATCCTTCTGACACAGACTAGGAGAAGGGAAAGCTTGGATGAAGATATAAAGAAATCCTGGAGCAAGGGGGAAATTGGGAGCTAGCGACAAATTGTCTTGACAGTCTGGTTCAAACACAAGGTCTTTGAAATTGAGTTCAGAAACTCGAGAAAAGTAGAAATGTTCTGAATCATGACTATGGAGAAAAAGCAGAAAATCGACTTGGGATTGTTTGCAACATCATGGGGCCTGCTGAGATTAAGTAATAATATAAAATTTTGGTGGGTAGAATCAATACTATATAATAAACTAATACTAGTTTTTATTTTCCAATAGATCAACTGTCTAAGAATAAGACAGTACAGTTCTGCGGGTCAGGTCATACTTTTCCTCATCAGTTATCTCTAGCGACTAACACATTGTCTGACACAGTAGCAGATCAATACTTTTCTTAATGAATGAATGTAAGAGGAACGAGTGAAAAGTATAACTGGGCTTACAAACAGGTGGGGATTTGATAAGGTTATTTCAGGAGAGATCAAGGGTTTGAAAGAAATTGGGGTTCTTTGAGTATCTGTGAAAAACACGTTCTAAGTTAGATAAGGAAGAAGGTTAACACAAAATATAGATGGCAGACTAAGACAAGATAAAGAAGTAAAGGTGCAGAGATTGGGAACAGTGACAACTGTAAAGAGGTTTGGTGCAAATGAAAAGTAGCTGAGGTAGAAAAATGAGATGGCAGAAGAAGGGAGGGGAAAACTTCAGAGTGCGAGGTCCAGGAAAAGGAGTAACTCTCAGTAAGGACTGGTTCAAGGTGCGGTCTTGCATGGGGGAGAGATGAAGGCTGATGTTACACAGGCAGTGACGTGAGCTGGGAGGGCAGGAGACCGAAAGACTGCTAGCAATCTAAACAGGAATTTAAAGAAATTAAATTTGAAAGAACAATGAGGGAAAAAAAGGAAAAAGAATAAGAAAGAAAATCATGAGATAAAAAGTCTAGTTCTTCAATAAGGAAAACACCACGCCAAGTTGAACTCCAAGCACTTTAGTACAACTGTGAAATTCTGGAAGGAAAAAGCAAACAACACTATCAGAAAACCAAACGGGAGGCTGCCGCATTCCTTTGCTTCGCATCTTGCCACATTCCGTCAGTTTTCCTTAACACCTTTTGGGCTACCTCTCCTCAGTCTACTCTGTACACTGGCACCTCATCTGCCCAAATTTAAATGCTTCTAGTTCCTCCACCTTTGATTCAGGGTCTTCATACTGCATTTTCTCATTTACTCCCAAGGCTGAAAAATTCTCATATTTTATCTGAAGCTCAGAACTCTCTTCTGAACTCCAGGCTTTTATAGACAACGTCTCACTTGAATATCAAAGTCACCTCAAACTCAACAGAACCCAAAAAGAACTTACACTTTGCTCCTTAAGCCTGTTCCTTTTCGTACTATTTCAGTAAATGCTATTACTATCCTGCCAGCTGCTCCAGCTAGAAACTTAGGACTAATCTCCCCTTCTCACATCCAAACAAAAAGCCCTGCTATTTCTATCGCCCAAATGTTTTCAGAATCTGTACAGTTTGCTCCATCTGCCATCTGGGTTCAAGCCAGCATCTCTCTTATTAAATTACTGCAACAATCTCCTAACTGGTCTTCTCACATTAATCTTATTACCCTCTAACATATTTTCATACTCAAGTCTAAGTGATGAAACAGTAATAAATAAATCCGATATGTAACTCCCTCTCCAGCTTCATTTTCTGTTATTTCATCTCTAGTTCACCAACTTCCAGTCACCCTGCCTTCCTCCCCCATCTTGCCTTAAGGTATCAGCACATAGGTTCCCAATGCCTGAAATGATCTTCCCTACTCTCTTCTCCCAGTTAACTCCTATCATGAAACATAGTGGTGAAGAGCACAAACTATTAGACTACTCATGAGGTTTACTACCCATTAGTAATGTGACTTTGGAGAAGTTTGCCAACCTCTCCATGCTGTAGTTTCCTCTTCTGTAAAATGACAAAAATTATAGCACCTACCTCATAGAGTAACTCTGAGGTTGCAATGAGTTATATATAATAAGGATGTGAATCGTGCCTGGCACATAGTGATCATTCCCTAAGTGTGAGGTATTTTGATTATGCATCCCTCACTTAAATGTGACTTCCTCAGGAAACACTTTTCCGGCCCCTCCAACTCAACTTGCTCCTTCTATAACATAATCTATTCTGAATTGCACTTTTCTTTTGTAGCACTTATTTCAACTCTAAAGATTTGTATATGTTTTTATTTAATGTCTTTGATCTCCTCTAGATAATATGTTTCATGATGGCAGGAACAATGTTGGTCTTGTTCAAAATGTACTGCCAGTGTCTAGAATGGCACCTCAAATATATAAGCACTTAATATAAAAATATTTGTCAAAGTGAATTAACTTGAGCAAAGGCATGATGTAGCCATTAGAAATGAACAGGAGTTTCATGTGGTGACAGTCATTATCTAAATAGACATCAGTCCTGTGTAGAAAATTATATGCCTATGCTGTAAAGTGGGTATAATAATACCTCAGTAGCACTGAAATAAAACAAAAACATCAGAACTTACTAAAATGTGTATGCTCCATTAATCATTTTAAATATTCAGGAGTCTATGGAATTTTGAAGCATTATTTTAATACAGTAGAGCCATAATCCTTGGCAGAATATCAAAGTTTCTCCCAGAGGTAACGGAGTGTATACCAAAACAATGTTTCCAATATGAACCAGTTTTTTCAAGAAATCATTAGAGAGTCCTCACGCTGAAACTCTGGACCACTGTTTGAAAATAACTTCTGTTTGTTATAAAAACATTATAGTTTCACAGAATAAAATATGACAAAAATATTTGGGAATCATAATGTGCCAAATAAAAGTCAGCAACGTAGTGATGTTATTTATAAAAATATAAAAAACAAATGTGACACTAAGATGAACTTTAATGAGTAGAACTTACAAGAACTGTGAAATAATCTTTCTTCAAACAAATATTTGATGAATGCCAATATCACTGCAGTACACATACTGCCTGAGCTGCATGTTTTAAGTTAATGCTAAGAAACTGAAGAGAGTACAATGCTAAGCAAGAAAGATAATAAAGGAGTTGAATAAGGAGAGGGACTAAAAGAAAGATTAAAAAAATTTTTTTTAACTTAGAGAAAGAAAAAGGTTAATTATGAATGTGTTAAGATAACATGAAAGGTTATTAGAATACAGCTGGCTGCATCATTCTTTTGTTGTTCACAGTAAAAACTGAGACTAGCTCATCACCTTTTAAATATAATATCTAAATCAATATTTATAAAATCTGCGATCAGTTTACTCTACTTAAGGAAGGTTATCCTGGATAATCTGGGTGACCCTGATTCAATCAGTTGTAAAGGCCTTGAGAGCAGCACTGAGGCTTCCCTGAAGAAGTAGTAACTCCACCCATGATGGCAGCTTCAGTGCCTGTGGGAGTTCAGCTTGTCCTTCTTGACAGCCTGCCCTACGGATTTCAGACTGGCCTACTCAGTCCCCAGAGTCGCATAAGTCAATTCTTAGCAATTAATCTCTTAATATACATATCCTACTGGTTCTGTTTCTCTGATGGAACTCTGAACTGACATATACTTAGGCTGACATGTATATGCAGCTAGAGATATAGAATAAATTATCTTATAGGTCCTTAACACTTCTATTATTCTCTACTTGAATTTCAAATCTAAAATAAAAATAATTTTGTTCTTGATTTCACTAGCAATCACCAAAAGATTTCTGGGTAATTAATACCAAATAAAATGAGATGCATTACCATTTATAATCCTCACTCTGCTTCTAAACACTGTTGAGATTTCCAGCTCAAAAAGAAAAGGATTCAATTTGTTAACTTAAATATTTTCATGCTTTATTGGCCTTTTTTCTTTCAAAGATATTTCCTTAACTTTTCTTTTAATAAACCAAGTTCTTGAATTCTAATAAAATGTCCACTATTCTTGAGATTAAATACTTCATCCCGCTGAATTAGCAAGAAACTAATATCATCTTGAACCAGTTTTGAACGATCTACAGAAAACAGTGAAAGCCTGACTTCTGAGCTAACCCAACATGTGAAAACATAAGGTCACAGAAACAGACCACATGTCACACGTAACTCCAAGTAAGAAGGGAGGCCGTGGGGACTAACAATGACAAGATGTGATATATCTGCATAGTAAGAGCAAAATAAAGGGGGAAAAGGAACCAAAACCAAAATTCTTTGAGGAGACAATTAAGTGGAGTCCAAACCAAAATCATGTGGTGTTACATCATTGAGAAATGTGTGCTGTTCACTAAGCAGACTGTTGAGCAGAACCTTTTCAAATTTTTCAAACTAAGTGCAACTGAAATGACTGTGATGCTTTGGAACAAACAGACCTTTACATAAACGCTTATTCCAACTCAGTTATTTGCTCCTCATGCATACAACTTTTCAGGACAAGGAACACTGCCAATATAAACAAGATAATCAAATTCTCTAACCTTTTGACAATCACTGATATTCTCATTACAGGCAGCCAAACTTAAAATATATGAATGTTATACACATCCACAACTATGTTCCCCTAGAAGAGAGGGCTGCTGAGATCTAGCAGCAGGGCAAGCAGGGGATGCAGTCACTGGCGACACAATGGACGGGCCTAAGGGGACTGCCCAGATT